AAATTTGTTGATATTAGATTGAAAGAAATTTTCTGTAAACCGGTTTGGAACTAATCCTAATTTGTATTTTAGCATGAACAATATATTAGCATAGATATTAATTTGGTAAATGTTTAGCGTTTTCATTTCTTTTAATAGGGGTGTAGCGTGGGTCAGTTTGTTCTTATGATATATTATTCTTGAGGCATGTTTTTGTCGTCGATAAAGGGACATTAACTTTGTCTTGTGTGTGCTTCCCCAAGCAATGTTAGCATATGTGAGATAACTATGTATAAAGGAAAAGTAAAGAAGTTTTAGGTTTTTTTGTGATAAAAACGGTCTAGCTTTAAAAGTATATTAATACTTTTAGATATTTTAGTGCTGATGGCATTTATATGGGCTGATGGCATTTATATTGGCTGTCCATGAAACATTTTCATCAATAATCACACCAAGAAATTTAATTGTTTGGGTTCTTTCAATTTTTCGTGTTCGGTACTTAGTGAGGGTAGAATTGATGGTAGTTTATTTTTTTGCTTGTTTGAGTGAAATAAAATATACTTAGTTTTTTGGGCGTTTAATGATAACATGTTAGCTCTAAAACATGTTTTAAGTTTTTGAAGCTCAATGTTGACTTTATCAAAAAGGTCATTGATAGAGGTAGATGAGTAAAATAGATTGGTATCATCTGCAAACATTATACAATCTAGATTTGTAGAGGCTTTAGGTAGATCGTTAATGTAGATAAGAAATAACAAAGGCGCAAGAATAGATCCCTGGGGGACACCACATTTTATTTTTAATAACTTTGTATTAGTGATACCGTCTATTATAACACATTGTTGTCTGTTATTTAAATAATTAGTGAACCATTTAATAGTTTGGTTTTTTATACCGTACTTTCTCATTTTTTCGAGCAGAATTTTATGGTTGACAGTATCGAAAGCTTTTGTAAGATCAATAAAAACTCCCAATACAAATTTTCCTTTATCAAAAGATGATCTAATGTTGTCCATCAGGTCTAAGGTTGCATGCTCTGTAGAATGGTTTGTTTGAAAGCTGTATTGACATTCACTTAAAATTTTATTGGCTGTTAAATATTTATAAAGTCGGTTGTACATTATTTTTTCCAGGAGTTTGGAAAAGACTGGAAGAATTGAGATAGGTCTATAATTGGTTAGCAAGGCCGTGTCTCCAGTTTTAAATATAGGTAAAATCTTCGCTATTTTTAATTTGTTTGGAACAACTCCAGTTCTAATTGATGACTTGAAAACCTTTAAAAGAGGATCTTTTAAAATGTATAAAGTATCAATTACTACATTGCTAGAAATGTCGTCGAAACCCGGAGCTTTGTTTTTTCTAATTGATTTTGTGGCTTCTTCAAATTCCTCAGATTTTAGGTCACTCTCAGTAAATGAACTACTATGGTTAGTAAAATAGTTATTAAATGAATTGTTCGAGTTGTTTATTTTGGATGCCAGCTTAGGACCGATATTTACAAAAAATTGATTAAATTTATCGGAGACTGTTTTTTTATCTGTATACTCCAATCCATCTTCCTCAATTCTGAAGGGTAATATTTCGGACTTAATTTTGGTTTTTCCAATAACTTCGTTCATAATTTCCCATGTTTTTTTAATACTACCATTGTGCTTTTGTAATTGTTTAGAAAAATACATTTTTTTAGATTTCTTTTTAATTTTTTCAAAAAGGTTTTTGCATTCTTTATAAACAGTAAGATTTTTTTCGTTTCTATTTTTTAAATATTTATTGTATAAATTTTGTTTTTTCTTAGACGATTTTTTTTCTCCGCTTGTTATCCATGGACATTTCAAATGTTTAACTTTTATTTCTTTTTCAATAATTGGAAAGTGTTTGTTGTAGTGCTCAAGAAAAGTATCAATAAATAAGTTATAAGCAGAATTTGTAAGTCTCGGTCGCATTGTAGATAAACATTTGACCAATTTGTTTTCGATAAGGTTTCTTTCAATTCGTGAATAGAAGATTTGTTAATTTTTCTTTTATATGTTTTGATTTTTGAATTATTTAATGACGCTGAGTTTTGTGTAAGTGAGAAGAATATCGGAAAGTGGTCTGATATATCAATTTTAAATATTCCTGTTTTTAAGGATATGTCTAAAGATGAGTTGGTCAATATATTATCTAATTATTATCAATATATTATAATAATTATAATGCTGTAATTGAGGGTGAGGTGACTCGGGTGGGTTTGTTAATTAATGAGAATATACCGAGCTGAAATATATTGTCAAAGAAGATTTTAATGTTGGTGTTTTCGTTGTATTTTAAACAATCTATGTTTAAGTCTCCTATGCAAAATATGTATTTTTTTTCATTGATATTTTTTATAAAGATCTGATTCAAATAGTTAGAAAATTTGATAATATTGCCATTAGTGGCCTGTAACAAGTAGTTACTAAAATGTTTTTTTTATTTTTATTGATTATTTCTATTGTAAGGGCCTCATTGTCGGCATCGGGGAATGAGAGGTCGTTTCTAATTTTTTTTTCAAGATCATTCCGAATATAAACTAAAATTCCTCCTCCTCTTTTGAGTATTTTTCTTTCAAAAGAAATCATGTTGTAGTTAGTAATTTGAAAATTTGAGTTTTTTTGAGAAAAATTGTCAGAAAAATTGTTTAATTTTTTTATTTTATAATCTTTAATAATTTCCTTGTTTTCACTTTATTGGTTTTTTTAAAATCTTCTTTTCTAAATAATTTTTCTAATTTTTCCTTTTAATCATTTATCTATTTCTCCTTTTTGATGTTGATTAAATTATGGATAAATTATCATCTAAGTTAGTTTTAATTGAAATTTAAAGGTGCTTTAAATTGCATTGTTTTATTTTCTAATTTTTAATTAAAAATTTAATAGAGAAATTTTATAGTAAAAATTTTATAGTAAAAAAGAAGAGCTTAATTATAGATTTAATAATGGGAAAAAATAGTGCTGCAGATAAAAGAACGATAATAAATGATAAAATTAAAAAGGTAAAGTTTGCAAGTTTGAAAAAAAAAAAAAGGAAGTTTAAAGAAAACACACAAACAAAAACAGTGTGTCAATGCAACCTGAGCTGTTAAATCTTGCTCCATTTACTTCAGCATCATTACCAAAAACAAGATCTTAGACAAATTTTAGACAATTTCAATGAATCAAACTTAATTTCAATTCTTGGTTGTCCTCAATGCAAACAAAGTTCATGTATGAAGCTGATGTTTAAAATATGGGTTTGCAAGTAAAATGAAAGTAAAATGTTCTTGCAAATGGGAACATTCATTTTGGACATCAAAAAAACTGCCTTAAGTTACAAGGGTAATATAAACTATAGAATAGTATAATCAATGCGTAGATGCGGTCAAGGCTTTTCTGGTATAAATCGTTTTAGTTCCCTTATGAATTTTCCTTCACGATTTAAATCAAAAAATTATACCAAGATTGTTTTTACTTTAAAAAAGGCTGTTACCACTCAAACTAGTTAAGGCTGTTACCACTCAAACTAGTTAAGGCTGTTACCACTCAAACTAGTTAAGGCTGTTGCCACTCAAACTAGTTAAGGCTGTTACCACTCAAACTAGTTAAGGCTGTTACCACTCAAACTAGTTAAGGCTGTTGCCACTCAAACTAGTTAAGGCTGTTGCCACTCAAACTAGTTAAGACTGTTGCCACTCAAACTAGTTAAGGCTGTTACCACTCATACTAGTTAAGGCTGTTACCACTCATACTAGTTAAGGCTGTTGCCACTCAAACTATGAATGAGGCGGCTCAAGAAATAAAAGAGTTATGCAAAGATCCACTACAAAATAGTTTTTATGATGTACCTGTGTCATGCGATGACACCTGGCAAAGGCGAGGATTTTCATCGTTAAATGGTACAAGCAAAGCTTTGGATGTTGTTTCGATGAGTCGGTTTTTATTGTAAAAAATGTGAGAAAATTCATAAAATGACAGACTCATTAGAAAAAAACTAATATAGAAATTATTCACAACTGTTCAGCAAATTTTACTGGATCAGCACCAAATATAAAAACAGAAGGCACAAAAATTAATTTTGTGAGATCCACAAAATCGCAAATGAGGTATACAGAAGTATATGGAGATGGCGATTCCAAAAGTTTTATTTCAGTGGAAAACATATACAATGGTATAAAAGTTGTAAAGAGAGAATGTATAGGGCATGTGGAAAAGAGAGTAAGAACCCATTTACGAAAACTAAAAAAGGAAACAAAAGGATTAGGTGGAAAAAGAAAACTAAAAAATTTAATTATTGACAAGCTTCAGAACTACTACGAAATGGCTATCAGGTTGCATGTTGGTGATAAACAAGATATTAAAAAAAGAATTATAAGTGGTTTTTGCCATGTGGCATTTAATAAAATCAACAATCTTCATGTTAACTGTCCGACTAGAAAAAATAGATAGTGGGGATATCAAAGAGCTGTGGCAAATAATGAAGTTGACAAGTTTAAACATGGTCCAGGCTTGTTAATAATAAACTTGTATTACGAGTTAGAAAAGTTGTAAATGATTTAACATGTGATTCACTTCTTGACAAGTGCTTACATGGAAAAACACAAAATTAAAACGAGACATTTAATAATATGGTTTGGGAACGTTTGCCCAAATCTATATTTGAAGGATTACACCAACTTTCTTTGGGAATCTATGATGACGTATCTAACTTTAATATTGGAGCTAAAGCTAAGATTAATTTGTATTAAAAACCTAATATGGTTCCAGGATTTTATATCAATATTGGATGTGACAGAATAAATAACAAAAGGATAAAAAATTCAATAAAGCATAGTGTATTAAAAAATGTTCTTCGTCGACATCAAATTAGAGGACAGAAAAAACAAAAAGATGACAAGAAAAAGCAAATTGAAAAAAGGACCTATAAAGCAGAAATAATTTAAAGTTAATTTTAAAGAAAGTATTTTTACTAAGTTTAGTTTTTTTATTCTGGATATCGTATTCCTTTATTTTTAGTTACACAGCGATTTTTTAAATTTTTGTTTTTTTGTGTGTGGTAAAGTTTATAAATATAAAATTATAGACAATGTAGATGTTGTATAATTTTCCATTATCAAAACACCCTTTAAAATTAGTTTTAGTAAGCTTATAATTAAAAAGTTTAAAAAAATAACATCTCACTATAGCTCTTTTTACAAAATGTTTTACGTTTTGCTTATTTTCTTAATTTGCATTTTTTCCGAGTTTGATAGTAGTCCAGTCGAATAAGATTATTTTTGGTAAAAATTTTTTATAAAGCTGAAACTTTGCCCAGTAATTCCCTAAGATATATAGATCACGTAAAAAACATGCCCCACGATTCCCAATAGGAGAACCCTCCTTTTTTGGGCTCAATTTCTAAATGACGAATGCCCAAAATGGTCAAAAAGTTATATTTTTGAAAATTGACTTATTATTTACCATTTTAAAGCATTTTTTATGCTAAAAAACTTTTTGAAAGACACTAATGTCTTAAAATAAAGGTTTTGAAAGTTGAATAAAAGCTTTCATTAAAATGGTCCTTTGTCACATTTAATTAAATCTAAATTAAATCGTTTTTTTTTTTATAATATTTCTGGATTTAGAAATCAGGTAAAAATAATATGTTCCTATCGTTATCTTTATAATTTTCTTCTTCAATTTTATTGCTTTACAGGAAATAGATAAGCAAATATACGAATGATATTTTGTAGAAATATTTATATGTGATAATAAAGATAAATGGTGATAGTTAACTGTCATTAATCAGTGACTATAATATTATTTAACAATGCGCGCGCAGGCCATGGAAGTAAGCAGCTTTATCAGTAGGAAGTTTCTCTGGCGATATTATACCCTTCAATGCTAAATCGATGTATTTATTATACCTAAAATTATTGATAAAAGTAAGTAAGATAATTATTTTTATACAATTAGGATTTCTATGCTAGATAGAAAATAATTACCTCAATTTGCAAGTGTGCTTCCCTTTGTTCCTCCATATAACAAAATATAACCTTTAATTGAGGCGTTCCAACTTCTTCTTGATTACTCCATGGACTTGTTATTACTTCTGATATTTTTTGTCATATTTCGTCCGAGATTCTTTCAACTAGTTTTGTTTTACTTTTTCCAAACACAGACGAAATAGTGTAACACCCCAACCATGGATATTCATGGATAAAGAGCAGGTGTTGTTTTATGGTTTTGTTTTTTAAACAAGCGTCCTTGATACTCCAAGCTTTATCCCATTTATCTTGCAAAAAGTAAATATCAGATATGTTGCTTTTCCAATGATAAATAAACATCACTGCAATATCTGTGTCATCAGTCACAACAGTTACATGCTGCAAGGTTGTATTTGCAATATCGAGAGCGGTTTTAACAACGGTGCTATCAGCATCACCAGGGCAGTTTACAGTCAAATACCCCAATTGATTTAAATGATGTGAAAGAAAGTTTATGAAATTGGCTTTGTTTTCAATATTACTTGGAAAAAGATCCTGAGTAAACGGCACATGTTTATTTTTGTTAATTACTACATTGCAGCTTTGTGGAATAGAATCTCTGCGTAGATACTCGTGACTCTTTGTGCCTTCATCTTGGTAACCGTCAAAAATAGCCGTGACGAATCCTTGGTAATTTATTTTTATAAAACTTGAATAAACATCTGCTACAACATTGAATTTCATTCCTTTAAACCATCTAACTCTATGTAGCAATGCACCACAATCTAAATCATAGTGGTTTGAAGTCTTGATATCTTCATATTTAACAGCATCTTCGTCGCACCTTATTACTTTGCAAAAGAATGTTTTATCTGGCTTTCTCATCATGCCTTGTTTAAAAATTGACATAGGCAAATCTTTACGTGCTGCGACAGTTAATAGCCGGTTAAATATGCTTGGTTCTCCTATTGGTTCTTTACTACTTTTTACTTTGCATGCAGCAACGAGCCCAATGTTATGATTTGATTTTTTCTTTTAATTTTTGCGTTTTAAAAAAAATACGTTATCCAGCCCATTCTGAATACTTTTACCAAATTCTTCAGCAAGCTCTCAGTTTACACCATCTTTATAAATAATACGATATCATTCGACTGTGAGTGAAGATTTTTTTCAGGAATACAGAATGAATTTCGATCAACTAAGCATTCATAAAACTTTTTATAATCTTTGTAATCTTGTTTTGTTCTCGACTTTCCAATTTCTTCATGTTGTTCACTGGAGTTTGCCGATACACCTGTTAGTTGAATCATAGCATCGTGTATTGAAGTTATCTGTGCAAGGCTTTATGCCCACACGTGACAGACAGATCTGACCTTCCAAGGCCACCAGTCAATTTGCATATTTTTATACACACAACTGTGGCACATCAGAAAAAAACACGAAAGACTCTATTAAAAGTTTAAGATTAAAAATTTCCGAAAGATCAATTAAAATGAAATGTCTACTTAAAATCAACTTTCAATATTTTCAAACATGTTGTTATTTTTATCGGTTAGGTTTTCAGACCATTTTTTATTACTTATTAATAATTAATTATTATTTTAAATGTAAAGCACTTGTTTGTTAAATAACTAGTCACCCATTCATTTTAAGACCTTAAAATCATTTAAAAAGTTGTTCGAATAAAAAATGCTTTAAAATGGTATATCATAAGTCTATATTTGAACACTTTTTTTTTTACTTTTTGGCGCATGCGTCATTTTATAAAGGTAAAATTTTTACATAACACCTCAAACAGATCGTTTCATGCCATAAACCTAAAGTTTGCTTTAAATTTTTTGTATTGTTTATAATTAGCTTGTTTAAATTTCGTTTTTATCTTAAAAACATAGAAAAATTTTGTTGATTTTTTAAAAACACCTTTTTATAGACATCTTTCCCGAAATAATATTTTGATTTTTTTTGGTTTATTGCATGCATCTAATGTTAATAAACAATGTTAGAAAGATTCATTGAAAAATATTTCATCAATCTAAGGGAATCTTTTTAAATTTCAAGAATTTATGGTTTTCGCCATTTTGAACTAGTAACCATGGCAATAGCTGTCATTATTTTCAAATGGAAATATTTTTTTAATCACTATTTTAATATTCTTTTCAATGAATAACTTTAAAGCATATGTACTTGGTAGTTATCGAAAAAATTTTGAAGGGGGTGAGCCCCCTTAAAAGAAAATAAAAATAAAAATTAATTTTTTATACGTCTCATTCAATTTCTTGTTTTTGTAAATAAAACCAACAACTTTACTTTTGTCTAACCATTAGTCTCCTTTTTAATTAATATGTATAAAACGGACACAACAAAATTAGTCAAATTACAAAGCTCGTAAAACATAAAAACATAAAACCAGAAAAAAAAAAAAGTGTGTAAAGCAATTAAATTGGCTCTTAATTAAATAGGTTCCACGATAAATACTTACCCAAAAAAGCAGACGTCGTTCCACTTATTATGTTTCTCTCCCACCTGTAACAATAATTGTCGCCTATTACGGGAGGGTTTAAATATAAAGTGCACCTGTAAATTTTTTCATTTTTCGTTCCTGAACATTTTTTTTTAATCGTGCAGACACTATCCTATAACAAAAAAATCTCGCCTATAATAAAATTAGCTTTGATTATATGCTTTTACTATTATTCTCAAAAGTGGCATAAGTGAGGCGTGTTTGCTTAGCAACAGAAAAACTGCTCCAATTTCTGTCCGTAAATATAACTATTACATATAAGTGCTCTCTTGTATTTTAATTAAATATATTTTGATAATGGTATATGTTATACTAAATTTAAATATTATTTAGTACAGTTTATACTTATTATTTTTGTTATTGTTTTTATTATAATTGTTATTATTATTCGCACAAATACTTTTATATCACTTGTAACTATAAAGCTTATATTCATAAAAAAAAATGAATATTGTCTCAGATGAAAAACCATCTATTGCAATAAGCAAAATAAAACATGCTACTGAGGGAAAGTTAAAGGTTGTTGGCGTATTGTAAGTATGTTAATAGTTTATTTTTATAATATATACCGATAGTAGATTTTATTTGTTAGAAACTTTGCTTAATTTTTAATGTAAATTATTTATGTGTTATTTTTTTAGGTCATTTACATCTGAGTGTATGTGTTGTGCATTTAATCAGCAAGGCCAATTGCTTGCTGTAGGACTATCAAATGGTTTAATTAAAGTAACTATTGTCATGTCTTTTATTAAACTTTATTGTTTGTATTTATAGTCTTTTTTTTTTTGTTGATGACTTTTCGACACTTGTATTAACATTCAAAAGTTTGAAATTGGTTTTATACCTAGAAGTTGTCTTAAACTCACAAAAATAATTTTTTGGTTACATTCAATATATAGTTATCTTTGTGCTTTATTGTCTTTAACACATCTTTATATCATATATTTAGTAAATAGTTTAGCAAAGTGTCTCAAATAAATAATCTATAAAAAAAAGTATTGAATTAAAGACACACCATAAACCACCTTTTTGGTAGTATGGTGGGACAGTTCAATGGTGTAATATAATGTATATATATATATATATATATATATATATATATATATATATATATATATATATATATATATATATATATATATATATATATATATATATATATATATATATATATATATATATATATATATATATATATATACATGTATATAGTATATATATAGTATTATAATAATTGAATTTTACCAATGTTTCAGCACATACTTTATCTAAGTCAGCTTATTATATACCAATTAAAAGATTTTATGTTTACTATTATGTTTTGAACAAATATTGATTATTTAATCACCATATTTTAATTGATGACAAAAATAATGATTTTTGATGAGTTCAAAATTTGCTGACAAAGCATTCATGTTAAAAAAGTAAGGATTTTTCAGAAAAAATTTTGATTAAAATTAAATAGAAATGCAAAATCATATTACTATTTTGTAGTAATACCATTACATTACTCCTCCTTCATGTTTTATGGTAAGCATTTGGTATTTATAATCATATCTTGTATCTACTGGAAAAATATTTGCATAACATAAATAGTGTTTTATATTGGAAGTATGGATTGAAAATGAATGTTTTGTATTGAGACCAATAATTTGGTAGGTATAAATTAATCCAATTTCAATTGCCGAGTGTAAAGATATTTTTATTCAAGTTTTTAAACATGACTGAGTACGTGCCTATAAATTGTTTCTGCAAGGAATTCTTTTACATTACTTCCACCGAAAGGCAATAGCAGCTGAGGCACATAGAATATTAGTGGAAACATACGGATAGAATATTACGAATAGAATATTATTGGAAACTTTTTTAGAACAAACATGCGGAAGATGATTTCAACAATTCAAGGGTGGTGATTTTGATCTAGAAGATGAAGAACATCCAAATATTCATGGTTTCAAGCTCATGTTCTGTATTAAACCAAGAATTGAAGGATATAAGGCGGCAATACACAAAAAGACATGGCAAGGTTATTGTTCAACATGACAACACATGATGCCATTTTGCAAATGTTGTAAAAAACTACCTGGAGAACCTCATACGGAAAGTGTAGGACTTTCCATATGAGGTTCTCCAGGACTTTTCCATATGAGGTATCTCCCCACCCAGATATCTGATTACCATTTGTTCTAGTCAATGACTCATTTGGTATCGACAAATCAAATCAGCAGTTTATTTTGTCAAGACTGATAGTCTTTAAAAAATAAACTGTTGGTTTTTATAAAAAAATGCTTTTTTTCTATGCATACTCTCAATAGTAGAAATACTACAACTCATTACATAAAAAGTTTTATTTGTTCATTAAAATCAACAGCTGCCAATCAAAGTTTTTTGTTGTTTAGTATCACAAGCTTTTTTATCCTGACAACATATTGTTTTGTGTGATCTTTCTGATTTCTTTAAAAATTTATGGATCTATTATCTTCGTAATTTGTCCAATAGCAGACTTACCCGATCTGGCATATGTATATGCCAGATCTTTCTATATGTATATGTAATGTCATAACGCTGTGCATAAGTTGCATAAGTTTGTTCTTACAAAATGAATTTCTGTTTAAACTGATCTCGATATTAACTTTTTAACTGGAGACGGTATACATTTCTCATACCCCATGACCTAAATCACTTTTAAATGATACTTTCTAATTATTTCAAAAAATTATTTGCTTACGATATCAATAAATAAACCGTTTTTTCGAGAAAATGTAAAAAATTTTAGTATGTCCACAAATTTTTGAACTCATTAAAATTGTTATTTTTAAAGTCAAGAAAAATATATAAATTAACATTCAATATTCAAAACATAATAGTTAACATGAAAACCTTTTAATTTATATATTTGTAAGTGCTGAAATATTAATAAAATTCAATTTTATTTTGCCTGTCCACAAATTTTTTGAACGCTACTAATCTACATATGTTATAGTAGATTTTCTTCTTTTTTTTTTTCATTTGGAAAATCAGTTTTACTAGTTATCTTTTTGTAAATTTATTTCAATTCATCTTCCCAAAGCCATGGAGGTTACTACAGTTGAGGAGTCTGCTTTAGTTGTAGCTACAACCCTCTCTCAACTCAATAACTCCGAAATACAAACCTTGATGAACAAGGCTGCTATGCGAATAAACAAGTTGAGCGTGGTACTACCAGGGACATGATGGGGATCGAACTCGGAACTTCTCTCTTATGAGGGAAGAACTTTACCACTACACCACTACTGCATCATCTTGACCTATAAAAATTTGTTGATAATAAAAGACCAAAATATTTTAGTTTAAAACTAAAAGCTTTTTTTTATGAAATAATTATTTTTACAATTTATTTTAGTTAAATTTAAATTAAATTTTCTAGTTTTATTTTGACTTGTATGTATCCATATGTAACTTTTTTATGTCTAGGTTTATTCAATTGAAAATAACAGCTATGTATACAGCTTACAAGAACATTCTACTACTCTCCCTGTTACTTGCTTGAAATGGAAGCCAGATAACAGTGCAATGACATATGGATACATTCTAATGGCTACATGTATATACCATTTGATTTTTACTTAATTACTTAATTTACTTATTTAATTAAGTGTAAATTAAATTTTTTTTACTCTAAAATATAAAATATTTTAAAATGCAAAGCTTAGAAATTTAATAAAAATAAACTTTTTTTATTTTTTTATTTTTGAAGCTGCTCATATATATTTAGTTATGTCTTTAAAATAAGCTTTGACTTTCTCTTTGAGCGGCTTTAATTGGCTGCCCACCACTTAGCTAACTGTTGACTAGACTTTAGATTGTAAAAATAGGTCAATGTTTTTTTCATTGTGATGTACTGATACAAAAACTCAGACTTTCATTGTCTAAAATGTGTTTAAAACCATCTGCTCATTGTTGTTTTTGTTCTGCAAGCAAAAAATTTAGATTCAAGAGACATTTTGAAATCTTTATTGCTGCTTTTTTCTTAAAATTTTTAATAGTTTGCAACTGGGTTAGTGACTGGGGCCCCGTCCCTGGCTAAAATTGAGACTTTTTTTCAAATCCGGCCCCTGCAAAACTATAAGATTTAGCATAAGGTTGATAGCCGGGGCTAGAAAAAAAATTATAATACTTTATATAATATAATTTTATGCTTACATTTACTATTTATTAAATGCTGGCATATATTTATATATTTTCAAACTTTAATTTACTTCCAACAAGCTTGTAAGCAACCCCTATTAAGTTATGAGTTACTTTAAAATAGAGAATTGGTTAAAATACTATGAAATGGTTAACTGATGACTTAAAAAGTTGTAGGTTTTATATAAAAGAAAAACATGAAGATGGCTTGAAATTTTAAGGTTTTTTTGAGGTGCAAGGAAAAAAACTAGATTTACAAAAGTTTTAATAGCATGACGGGACAGATACAATAAAAGGATGCAACTTGTTGAATAAGAACCAAGAAAGAATGAGTTTTGGTTTAATGTAATAGAGATGGTAGCTCATTTAAGAATTGACCATGATGGTATTTATAGAAAAAAGAAAGAAATGCAACCTTACAACAATTGGATAGTGGCTCAAGCTTGGCTGATAAAGCAGGTCTAGTTACATTTACAACGTGCTTTTAGACTTTGTCTGAGAGTAAGATGGTTGTTATTTGTCAATATAGAATTATTTCAGTAAATAAATGAATTTAAATTTATAAGCCACTGCAAGCCTGTTAAAGTAGAGAAATCACATTTAAAATCAGCTGTTCTAAGCAATTAAAATGTGAAGATTTTTTGTCAATACAAGAGTATAAAGTTGAGTCGTCAGCAAATAGAGCCACTTTAGATTTCATGAAGATCATTATTGTAGATAAGAAACAATACAAGAGCAAAAATAGAACCTTGTGGTACCCTTAAATTTACTTGAAATAAAAAGGATAGGCCTTCAAGAATAACTTAACTACTGCAGTTAGAAAAAATAGTTTAATAAACTTTATATAAAGAAAATAATAACAGAGTGAAGACTAATCATAGGATAGTAAGAGCTCAAAGACTAATTATAGGACAGTAAGACTAATCATTGGATAGTAATAGCTCAAAGTGTTTTCTAGAGTTTTAAAAAATTGGAACCACTTATTTAGCACTTTTTAAAAGTTTAGCAAAAATTGAAGAGAGTTCTGAAAAACACTATTTTATAACTATGATGAAAATCTTGTTTGGAGCACAAAATGTAGAAGTGTTTAATTGAGAATTAACTTTAGCATCGGAAGCCAGAGTGATTTCGATGTTTAACAATGGGTTAATCTGTGTAACTGTCAAGAAGAGTATGGCCTCTATACTCAAAATTCAAATTAGAGTAAGATTTCTTTTCAAATAACTCATTATAAGTCATTAAGTCATTTCAAATAACTCAAAATAAATCATTGCTTTATTCTGGGGAGAAGTAAAAAGATCAGACCCATGAATTTGAGATTAAATTTTAAACTTACTTTAGTTAATGACACTGTTGAAGACTAACCAAAAGTCTCTAGAACCTAACATCTGAGATAAGACTTTTTTACATTGGCTTCTTGCAATAATAAAAGGACATTTGCTCTTAAGAGAGATGTTCTTGTAAAAAAATTGAAAAAAATGATTCATGTTTAATAAAGCAACTGCTCAAGATGGTGAAAAATGTGGAGTTGAATGAGGCTTAACTTAAAATAGAAAATGGAATAAAAGCTTCTGAGATGCGCTTTATGCATACATATTATGGATATAAACATATATGTTTGCTATTTATTTAGATGCTGGCATGCAATACGCAATTAATCACAATCCATTGGAATTTTTGCGTCATTTTATTACGATGGATGAAACATGGATCCATTACTACACACCTGAGTCGAGGCAACAATCAATCAGCACAGTGGTTAAAACCTGGGGAAAGATGACCAAAGCGACCGAAAACACAGCAATCGGCTGGAAAGGTTATGGCAAGTGTCTTTTGGGACGCACGTGACATAATATTTATTGATTTCTTAAAAAAAGGAAAGACGATCACTGGAGAGTATTATGCCACCTTATTAAATTGTATACGGGATGAGATTCAGAAAAGCTGACCACATTTGCGGAAGAAAAAAATTTTGTACCATCATGACAATGCGCCATCTCACATGTCATTAAAAGCAATGGCAAAACTTGATGAGTTAGGATGGGAAATACTTTTCCAGCCAGCTTATTCGCCAGATTTAGCACCCAGTGACTACTTTTTATTTCCTAATTTGAAAAGATAGCTCCAAGCAAATAGGTTCGTAACAAATGAAGAAGTCCGAAAAGAAACAAATGGATATTTTGAGGGACTTGAGAAAAATCATTTTAAGAAGGGAATTGAAATGTTGAAAGATCGATGGAATAAATGTATTGTTCTAAAAGGTGATTATGTAGAAGAATAAAACATATTTTTCCCGATATTTTGTTGTTTTTCTTGGAATTCCGGAAACTTATCAATCCATGTAGTATATAAATTGTTGACTTTGAGAGTATGGAAGGTAAAAAATGATTGTTTTAACAACAAATTATGTTACTTTTAATTACTTTTGACATTAATCCAACATTTCCGTGTTGTCATAAAGTTAAAACCATTAATTTAATTACTTTTTTAAAAAACCCAAAAATGCAAATTTAATTGACCAGAATGTTTTTAAAAACATTCTGAATGTTTTTAAAAATATAAACAATGTTTTTATTTTTACTTTTTAAATAAAATGTTTTTATTTTTTTTTTACTGTAAATCATGCGCAAGTGTTGCTACATCGACTATCTTATAGCCTGACTCGCAACAGAGTGCTGCTACATCGACTAACTAATAGCCTGACTCGCAACGGAGTGCTGCTACATTGACTGACATATAGCCTGACTCGCAACGGAGTGCTGCTACATCGACTGACAAATAGCCTGACTCGCAAAGGAGTGCTGCTACATTGACTGAGGGTTTGGTTTGGGCAGGCAGTCTATCAAATAATAAAAGAAAAAAAATATATATATATATATATATATATATATATATATATATATATATCATCATATATATATATATATATATATATATATATATATATATATATATATATATATATATATATATATATATATATATATATATATATATATATATATTTATAACCGTCCTTTAAGTATTGTGCAATCATTTTTCTCACAATTATTAGGAAGCATTCTTACTATTATAAATATACAAGGTTATTTCATTCATGAAAGTTTCTTATTTCATACAGTAACAAAAGCTAGGTACAGGTCTGTTATTTGGAATATTATTTTTTAAATCATTTTGATAGAGCATGCTATAATTCTTTAATGGTTAGATGGTTTATCAAAGTTTATGTAAATCTTTATACTATATAATTTTTTATTAGGTTTCATCATTTATTTAACTCATTAATTAATTCATATTTTTTTTATTCTTTTTTTACAAAAAGTATTTTTATTACAGATGCTTCAGGAGAATGTAAAATATGGCACGTTACAACAAGCAAATGCTTACATACATATACAGACAATCAGCAACTGCTTGTTTGTGCATATAATGGCTCAGGTAATAAGGCAATAGCAGGTGGCAGTGATGGCATAATAAATGTTTATGATGTAACTACAAATCAAAAGATATTAAGAATGCAACCAAGGTAAATAAATTGGATGCAAATTAAAATAGTTAAAAAAAGCCTAATATTCTTTCGATTATTATTTTGTTGTTTATGATTGCAGTGTTTTTGTTACTATGACAATTAAAATTTAATTTTTTATATTTTAGTACTAATTCTGATATTATGGATGGCCATGTTATGCGTGTATTTTCTGTTCAGTATCATCCATATGATAACCATGTGTTTGTATCTGGTGGTTGGGATGATACTGTCCAAGTAAGTCTCTATATGCCAACAATATTATTAAAATTCCTCATGGAATGTAACTTTGATGTCAAGATACTACTGCAAGTTTAGGTATACACGGTACTAATATACTTTAATTTTTAAAATGACTACCTAAATTAATAATATTAATAAATTTTAATTTTTTGATAAAATTAAAAAATTGAAATTTTATTACAATACCTGTTTTTTATTTACTTATTTTTTATTTATTATAATTAAACTCATTTTACTTATTTAAATTTTATCACAACATTTTAAAAAACTTTACTTATATGCTTTTCATAATTTTTCAATTCTTTAACCAATTTTTTTTTCCTATTTGTAAACATAGTGGTGGGACACACGAATATCAGACAAGCATTCCATCAAAAAAATATCTGGTCCTCATATTTGTGGGGAAGCTATTGATATAGAACCCAATACTTTAAAAATGGTAGCTGCTTCATGGAGAAAATTTGAAAACTTGCAAGTATTTGACTTTGGAACTGGAAAGTTAATAAAAGACACACCTCTTAAATTTAACCAATCAATGGTGAACATATTTTTTAAAAAGTTTTATATCACTAATATTAAATTTATACTAATTATTTGTCATTTGGAAATGGAATTTTAATAGTTAAAAATATAATATTTAAAAATAAAAATTCTTTTTTGTCATTATTTATTTTGATAAGTTTGATCTAGTTAATTTTGTTCAATCTTATATGTTTATAAGATTGCTAGTTTAACAAGTTTAATGGTTCAAGAAAAACTGAATTTTTTTTTATAAAACAATTTTTTTTTTCAATTGACCTCTGATATCATGTCCTCTTTTACATTTCTAGATTTTTGTTAATGTAATGAATTTTATTAAATCATATTTTGAAATAAGAGACAAATTTTGTTTATGTTAAAAGTGCAAAACCATTTTTTACGTACAAAGTTTTGGCACAACATCAAATTTCTGGAGTCACTTGGGACTATAAATTACATCTTCTTTTACATTTCTAGATTTTTAATTATGTAATAAAATTTAATAAACCATACTTTGAAGTAGGAGACTAAATTTGTTTTAAAAGTGCAAAACCACTTTTTATAAACCACTTTTTATAAAAAAGTATAAGATTTCTGGAATCACTTGGCAAGAAAACACAAGACTCTTACACAAGCTGAAACAGAGTGAACAAAAGATTAAAAAATTGTTGAAATCATTTTTTGCAGTTTGTTTTGGAATCCTGTTTCCATGGATATCTTGTTTAATGTTACAGATGGACAATCTTTTGAGATTAGGGCTAGTAAAGGTTTTGCAAAATTATGTTTAACTTTTACTTAAAAAAGTTGTAAATCTATCTATATTTTTACAAAAGGCAATCACTTGAAAAAAAAATTTAAAAAGTAAATTAAAAACAGTGATACTTAAAGAAAGGTAAGGATGTGAAAGTAACATCAACTTTATTTAGAAAAGCTGCAAGTAATTAGCTGCAGATCCTAACTCTCAAAAAGCAAAAGAAGTTGTTATTTATCAACTGCAATGTTAAGTATTGAAATATACATTGTGCTATGTGTAACCACAAACAAAATGTAGTGTCTGCTACTGCTAATCTTTGAAAAAATACTTGGCAACCATGTGCTGTACATTTACTTCAACTATGTATTTAGAGTGTGTTGAATGTTAAATTAAAAATTATAAATTTATTTGTTTGGTATGCAAAATTACAGGTTTTTTCAACATTTCTATTTAAGGTCTGCAACCCTTGGAATAAGGAAAAATGAGGTCGGCAATAAATTGCAGACCTCAAATGTCGGCATAAAGTTGGCATCAGGTTGGCAAAAAAAAATTGAAACAAAGGGGTTACCGTAAAACATAGAAACAAGGTCGGCAATTTTTTTGCCAACCTCAAACACTTTTAGATTAGCAGTTTGGTCAGGATTGCCGAATGCTAACCCTAATTCCCAGGGTTGGATCTGTAATATTCAAAGAAACATCAACTTGAATAGAGAATCAGACAAGAGACATAGTCTTAAACAGAGATGATCCTTAATGCAGTAGTATTGCAATCAATGAGTGTTCTCTTTGTAAAGTTTAGAGTTAGATTATCTTTTGGAGTACAGCATTCAACTTGTCTATCTGTGCAACAGATTTGTTTTTCTAGGTTTGCATTTTAGAGTTATTGGGTTAAGTGACAGTTGTAACAATATTTAAGAAATAAAAATAAATAGATACTTTGGCTACAGTGCCTCCTTGGCCTTTAGGAAGTCAATAATAAAAAATAACAATTCATATCTACTAATTAATAATGCAACAAGAGAATATTAAATTCTTCCATGTAAAAATTGCGCAGTAACATCAGTGGCTCTAACAGAATGCACATTAAGCAGTATATGCACAGAAACATCATTATTGATCATGATGATAAATATTCAATAAATTGTGTTACATCTTAAAACTCTTGAATGCAACAGTGTTACTTAACACCAATAGAACTGTTGATTAAACTTTGCATTTATTGGTTAAATTTTTAATTGGAATCATTCAATTGTCCTCATGAGCAGCTTTAAAAAGTAGTTATTTTCACAATGACATGTATGGATTAATTTAGCAAAATTTTTGCTACTTATCATAACATACTCAAGGTTTAAAACTATAATTCACCCATAACATAAGCTTTCAATTGTAAAAAATCATCTATTATATATTGAATAATTTAAAACTATGTGAAACCACTCTTTGTGAAAATTCTATAATCTTTCTTTTTACTTTAGTGATAATTTATTTTATAAATCTGAAGATGGCACAATGTGTTAAAAATATTTACAATTTTTAGTCATGTTTTTAGTTATTGTTTTATATACCCTGGTACCACCAAATTTACACCTCTCATATCACACTTCAGTGGCTTTTAAAGCTGTTGATGTTTGCTGAATCCTAATAATGTATAATTTAGTATTCTTATTTTCTCTGATTTATAGTTCATATATATTGTATAAAAAAGTTAAAAGCATTGTAGAAACTCCATATTAATATTTAGCTTTACTGTGCTCAATGGAAAGATTCTGAAACGATTTTGAGTGGTGGAAGTCATGGTAATATGATGCAATGCACACATTTTTCATCCTTTGAAGTAAAATTTGTTTTTTTTAACCTTTTGTTTAAATACGAACTTTACTATATAACTTTTATAACAATGACTTAAATTAATTTTTTTTTATATTTAAAATTATGTCATATTTAGTTTCTCTTTTGGAACCTTTAGGTCTTTTATTTAGGTCAGGTCAGGTTTTCCTGCTACTTTTTTTTTTAGGTCAGGTTTTATTTAGGTCAGGTCAGGTTTCTTTAGGTTTTTTACTTTTATTTAGGTCAGGTCAGGTTTTCCTGCTTTTATTTAGGTCAGGTCAGGTTTTCCTGCTACTGGTAACATGTAACCCAGTACAACCTGCTCCATGTCCTGCTGCCTTGTAGGATACGCTTTTTTAGGCAAAGGCTAGGAGAAGTTAACTCCGAATTAAAACACCCCCTGCCTTGGGGCTCTTGGTTGAGTAAAGGCTAGAGATGGTGTCTCGATAAAAATACTCATCTTGGGCAGATGTTACATGCATCCAGCTGCTGTCTTGTAGAAGGCCTCCTAGGCAAAGACTTAAGGGGTAAACAGATTCTATCTGTTGACCAGCCTCGCACCCCTTCCTCATCTATTAGGCTGGCGCAGATGTATTTTTAATACATTGTTTCCAGTTTAGGATGTTGAACGCTGGATCTTCTTGACTCAATGCGTGGGTATTGCTTGTGTCTCTATTTTTATGACTGGGCAACTCATTCTATTATCTCCTAATGAGGGTACAGCTCTAAAACTCAGTTTTATGGTTCTGAGGCCGGCTGGTAGTCAGGTTTCCCGAACTCTGTGGTAGCTCTCAGAGAGGCTGATTCCATCAACAGCCGAAAAATATCAGAGTACTAACAGTGCCATGTTGCGCATGGATGGTGTCCCTGTTTGTACTTTTGGTGTGCATTGCAGAGGCCACATTTGGAGCCCTTTGTTACGGCTTAGGGTTTATTAATAGTAATGAGGCTATTGCTTAGTTGTTAAATAGTGTACTGAGTACTATCTATACTTGAGTCAAGTTCTTTATAAATTTAAAATGACTAAAGTACCTAAAACTAAAAAACACAAAAAACCATTGTCATCACCAAGTTCTCTAAACCTATCATTTACTAATATTCGTGGTCTTCGAAGTAACTTTTCTTCTGTTGAGTCTTATCTCTTGCAAAGTTCACCAGACCTACTTGCTCTTTGTGAGACTAGTTTGAGTTCGGCTGTCCCATCTTGTGATCTTAGTGTTGATGGTTATCTTCCTTTAATTCGTAAAGACTCCAATAATCACATGCTTGGCCTGGGCATCTACATTCGTAAGAACTCACCCATTTGTCGTGAAACTAGGTTTGAATCTACAGACTATTCATTTATGTGCTTTCGTTTAGCACAACTTCACTCTATCGCCTTTCTCTTTGTTCTATATCGCTCTCCTTCATCCCAAGACTGCACTATTCTTGATGTTATTTCTGATCAAATTGACCAAGCCCTCTCTCTCTATCCATCGGCCAATATCGTCGTTGTTGGTGACTTTAATGCCCATCACACCGATTGGCTTGGCTCTAGTGTCAGTGACTCTGCTGGCGTTAAGGCCCTCAACTTTTGCCTTTCTCAATCTCTAACTCAAATAGTCATCTTTCCAACTCGTTTTCCAGACAACTCTAATCATTTACCTTCTCTACTCGACTTATGTCTTGTTTTGGATCCTAGTCAGTGCTCAATTTCTCCACATTCACCCTTAGGTACTTCTGATCACGGTTTGATCTCTCTAAAACTATTATCAAATTCTTCTACTTCATCAGAATCCCCCTATCATCGTACCACATACAACTACCTTAAAGCTGACTGGGACTCTTTCCGTGATTTTCTTCGTGATGGCCCTTGGGTAGAAATCTTTCGTCTTCCTGCTGACAAATGTGCTTCTTACATAACTTCGTGGATTCAGGCTGGCATGGAATCTTTTATTCCCTCTCGACGATTCCAGGTCAAGCCTCACTCTTCTCCTTGGTTTTCCTCACATTGCGCTGCAGCAATTTCTAATCGAAACCGTTACTTCCATATCTATCAGCAAAACAATTCTCCAGAAAACAGACATCTGTTCACTATCGCCAGAAACCATTGTAAAAAGGTTTTGTCTGACGCCAAAGCTCGCTATTCCCAGGTCATTAAATCTCGTATCTCATCACAAAAATTAGGCTCTCGAGACTTCTGGAGAATCTTTAACAGTATCAATAATAAGGGCAAATCTGTTATTCCTTCTCTCTTGTATGGTTCAGACTTTGTCACCTCACCTAAAGACAAAGCTGAATTGTTTGCTAAGAACTTTTCATCAATATCATCTCTTGATTCCACTAGTTGCGTTTTACCTGACATAGCCGTCAAACAGGTTGATCCCTTGCTTGACATTCGCATCACTTCAGCTTCTGTATCTAAAGTAATTTCCTGCTTAGACTCTTCAACAGCTTGTGGTCCTGACAACATTCCTGTTGTAGTCTTGCAGAGGTGTTCTCCGGAGCTTTCATCCATACTTTCTAAACTATTTAACAAGTGCTTATCAGAGTCTTGTTTTCCATCATGCTGGAAAGCAGCATCTGTTATCCCTATTTTCAAAAATTCCGGAGAGCGATCTGGTTCATCTAACTACCGTCCCATTAGTCTTCTTCCTGTCATAAGCAAGGTTTTTGAATCTTTAATCAACAAACACTTAATCTCTCATCTTGAATCAAATAACTTACTTTCTGATCATCAATATGGATTTCGGTCTTCTCGTTCTACAGCTGATGTGCTAACAGTAATAACCGATAGGTTTTACCGTGCATTAGATAGAGGTGGAGAGGTTAAGGCTATCGCACTTGACATTTCTAAAGCTTTTGATAAAGTTTGGCATGCTGGTCTTCTCCATAAGCTTTCTTCTTATGGTGTAGCTGGTAACGTCTTTAAGATTATTGAGTCCTTTCTTTCCAATCGTAGTATAAAAGTTGTCCTCGATGGACAACACTCTTCTTCACATCCTGTAACTTCAGGGGTTCCTCAAGGTTCAATCCTTGGCCCTATACTCTTTTTAATTTACATTAACGATCTTCCAGATATTCTCACATCTAAGGTGTCATTATTCGCTGACGACACTACCATTTACTCTTGTCATGATAAGAAGCCTACACTCTCTGATTGCTTGGAGGGGGTATCTGAGCTTGAAAAGGATCTCACTTCTGCTACAGCATGGGGCTCACAGTGGCTGGTGAACTTTAATTCAGATAAAACTCAATTTTATTCGGCCAATCGTTATCGTAATAATTTAGATCTTCCTATATTTATGAATGGTAATGTACTAGATGAGTCATCTACCATTCATCTTCTAGGATTAACTCTTACTTCTGATCTTTCTTTTAAACCGTATATCAAATCCATTGCAAAATTAGCATCTGCTAAGGTTGCATCTCTTTATCGAGCTCGACACTTTCTTACTCCAGATTCTATTCTCTATCTCTATAAATCTCAAATCCGTCCCTGTATGGAATACTGTTGCCACATCTGGGGCGGATCTTCTAATGATGCTCTTTCTCTTTTAGACAAGGTGCAAAAACGAATTGTAAACATAGTTGGACCTGCTCTTGCAGCCAATCTCCAACCTTTGTCACATCGTCGTAATGTTGCTTCTCTTTCTCTTTTCTACAAATACTATAATGGGCACTGCTCTAAAGAGCTAGCGTCCCTTGTGCCATCTACAAAAATTCATTCTCGTGTTACTCGCCATTCAATTAAGTCTCATCCTTTTTCTGTGACTGTTCCTAAGTGCTTCAAAAACTCTTATTCTTCTAGTTTTTTTCCTCGAACATCAGTTCTTTGGAATTCGCTTCCTTCATCTTGCTTTCCTGATTCATATAATTTGCAATCTTTTAAGTCATCAGTCAATCGTTATCTTGCTCTACAGATTTAGTCTTTTCTCTTCCAGTAACTCCCAACTCTTATAGTGGTTGCTTGCAGCCTTGTTGGAAGTGAAGATGTTAAAAAAAAAAAAAAAAAAAAAAAAAAAAACCTTAAGGTTAGTAAGCGACCAGGGTTGATATTTGACTGGGGCCGGGGCCGGGTTTGATAAAACATAGCCGGGGCCGGGACCGGGTTTGTGACCGGGGCTGCATTAATATTGATATTCCTTATAAATATATTATTGTTATTTAAAATTCATGCTATATTTTATATAAATGTATATATACCATCTCATCGCATCATCATCATTATCATCATCATCATCATCATCATCATCATCATCATCATCATCATCATCATCATCATCATTATCATCATCATCATCATCATCGTCATCATCATCATCATCATCATCATCATCATCATCATCATCATCAAGCATACAGTTGATGATGATAATTAAGATGATTCTGATGATGATAATGACAATGATCATCATCATCATCATCTTAATCATTGGCATCATTATCATCTTCTCTGATACACACTCTAAATATAATTACCACTCTCATACAATCTCTAAGATCATTGTTTTTTTTCCTATCTTTTAAAGACACCATATATCCATCTGATCTACTTTGTTCTTTCCGGATGAAAGAACAAACAAGCCAGCAACCTGGATATTCTAGAAAAGTCAGTGGCCATCATGTAATAAATTGATTATTTGAAATTTTTAAACAAAGTTAATAATTTGAAGAAATATTTAAAAATTGCTAACAATCAGGGTGTTTAAAATATCCTAAAATAAAATTTATTGTAAAATTGCATTTACATTTAAAATGTAAGTAACTTTTTAATTGTAATTTTAATCATAAGAATTACATAGTTGAGCTATTCAAGTATTTAAATGTAAAGAAATTGATAAATACTAGAAAATAGTTGAATTTATTTTTGTAAAACAACAAAAAAACAAAAATCCAGCCCCGGTTAGTAACCCCTGCAAATTGTGTTTTTTTAGCCGGGGCCGGGGCTGGGTTTGCAAAAACCTCTGTTTTTAGCCGGGGCCGGCGCCGGCGCCTGGGACCCGGTCACTTACTTCTTAAGTAAATTCAAACCAAAAGTTAAGTAAATACGGTTTAGCAAAGCTTGTTACACATGGTAATCATTTAAAAGTAGAAATAATTACTACTCTGGCCTAAGTGTCTATTAAACTTGAAAATGTCAAAAGTAGTAACAATAATACTACTTACAAAGTTCAAAATTAAGGTTATAAATGATAATTTATTGAAAAGTGTAAAATAAAACAAATATTATAAGTGTAAGGTATTAAAAATAATTTTTTAAGAATATTTAACAAGATAAGTTTTTTATTAGGAAAAGAGAAATTTTTTTTTTATGCTTCTATATAGTATGAGTTTGTAGTCATGATGAATAGTGCAATGTTTAGATAACTTAAACTTGTTAGCAGATTTTAATGATAATTTTCTCTTTAAGTAAAAATCATTCCGAATGTAGGAGGTACGTTATTACAGTCTTGGTTTTAAACAAATAGGCAATATAATATTCAAAGAATGACAAATTCATAGAGATAAAAGTTACATGGTTTCAGAACTTCTTGTAAGACCTTTTGTAAGTGAAAAAAAATATATTATGGAGAACCTTGTGTGAGAGTAGTGAAAAAATATATATATCAGAAAGAACCTTTTCTGTTGTTAATAGGAATTATAAAATAAAATTCAAAAGTAAAATTAGGGCAAAATGATGAATATTTAACAAATACTTTGTTGAACTTTTATACCCGTAAATTGATATTAAAAAAAGTCAAAATAGAATTTTTTTTTTTAAAACCGTTTAGTAATTATGAATAATCCCTTTCATAACTGGCACAATTTGATACCACTAATTGAAATTAACTTGGTTTATAACAGATTGTTTCTTCATAACCATTAGACGTCAAGGCGTTATTATAAAAAGGTGCAGGTTTGTCAAAAATGTCTTTGTTGGATGAAATATTGCTAATTCGTTTAGATAACATCGTTGGTATGGATTTGATAATATTAGGAGGATGGTTAGAATTAACATTATTGTACATTGGGTGGTCACCTGGTTTTCTGTATGGTCGAAAAAAACAATCTGATAAATCAAACATAACATCTAAAAAATTTACAATCTTCAAGTTTGATTTTACTGTTTAGATTGTCTAGATAGTCTAGATTGAATTTATCCTTAAAAAGGTTGATAAGATTTTTTTTTATTTTTCCTGATTCTGGTCCACTGACTTTATGAAAATAGAACAAACCATCATCTCTATACAATCCATTTGACTGTAATCTATATATGTTGCTTATAGTATGCAGCATATAAAGACCGACAAGCTTGCACAGCTCTGCGCCATCGAAACTTCCCATAGTAACGTCAAAGTTTGGGTTACCAAGTCTCTTAACCCACATGCTGTTTTGATCAGTAAAAAGCAAAAATATTATAGAATGATTTATAACACCTAGTGTTTTCTCTGATATTGTCAATAAAAAACATATATTGATAGTCTTTTTGATGAGCGTGCAAAAACATTTTTTGCATCAAAAAAGGAAGAATGGAGTTTGTTGAAAATCCAAATTGCTTATGTTGACAAATGGGTTCAATTATTCAAGCATTTTTAAGAAAAAGACATTGGTGTACCTAATCTGGTAAAAGTTATTGAATACCTTTAGTGTTTTTCAGGAAAATCTGCACCTGTAGAGCGTATTTTTTTAATCATGAAAAATATTTGCTTAGATGAATCTTTTGAAAGAGTTCACAGTACGTGCATTGCTGTACTGCAAGTTAAACTTTAGCATTACATGCTCAGTTTTTTGTAAAAAAAATTTAAAAAATTATAACTTGCTAGAAAAAGTATAACTGAAAAGTATAACTCGTATAAAAACAGTGAATAGTTTTTTTCTCATGTTTCTTTTTTTAGATTTAACAAATAATACAAAAATATTTTGGTGTTGTTTCTTTGCTTTAGATCCCTTCAGCAGGTGAGCAATGGAGTTCTTCCTTTTATATATAAAGACTTTCATGAAACCTAATTACAGGGTGCCATGTTTTTTGAAGCACAAAAAAACACTATTTTTCTCCTATCTCTCTGGTCTTTTATTTCAGCATTTTGCAACAAATGTTGATATAGTTTTATTATCAATTGAAAAAACTTTTTTAACTTTATTGATAAATATATTTTTAAGTAACCGAAAAGTTATAAAGGCCAAAGTTATTAAATAGTTGACTAATTATAATAAAATACAATACTCTTTATACTTAAAAAAAGACTCTTTTTTTTTGAACGACGCCCTTCTTGGTTACTGGTATTACCTGATATTGTATCATAATTTTTACAGTAAAACAAACTTTAAGAATTAGTTTCATTATTGGTTACGTTAAGTTTGTAATGCGTTTGCGATGATATATATAACGGCTGAACTTATTGATGGTATTAAAAGTTTGGTCAAAGTAGATGTTTTCACTTGAAATTAAATATTTTCCGAGTACTAGTTTTTATTTTTCATTTGTTTATTTTTACAATATCTATTATCAATATAATTGTCTGTATTTTTCAGGAAAAAAAATTGAAAAGTTTGTATTTATACGTGGTAAATGAATGCTTAAATCTTAAGTGACCGAACTTAGGCGATTTTACGGTGTAGCGTATACTTTATTTTTCAAAATAAAAAATACGTAAATAATTTTGCGATCAAACAGCTTTTTTTATTTCGACCTTATTATTATTTTTTTTATTTTTTTATTATGTTTTTATTTATTATTATGTTTGTATTTATTTTAGTTTTATGTAACTTTATGTTGTATATATATATATATATATATATATATATATATATATATATATATATATATATATATATATATATATATATATAATTAACTATTAATCACAATTATTTTATTTTATAAATCACAATTATTTTATTGTATTTACATATACCGTGTGTACATAGATACAATACTTTTATTGATAATTGTTCTTTGTAGACGACTTCCTGAATTAGTTATTATGTGATATTAATTATGAAAAATATTAATAATCTTTTTTTTTTCCTAATATTTCAAATTCAATAATTCAAATACTTTTGTTTACTATTTTTTTAAATTTTATTAAATTTATTTCGCCTCATGCGTTTTTATTTAACATTGCCATGGTAAATGCCGTTTTACTTTTTGAAAAAAGTAAAACGGCTTATAATAAATTTAATTTATTTGTATACGTTATAGGGGCTGTCCTTTAATTACGTCAAGGAAAGTTTTTCCTTCCCTCCCTCCCCCTTGTCAACAATTTGTCAAATTTCCAGAGACCCTCCCCTATAAAATTATGTCAAATTTTGATTACACCTCTCCCCTATACAAAGAAACAACGTTACAAACTCAGCCTAATTTTCCGTTATATACGCAATGAAACTCAAAAAATAAAAAAACTGTTGACGTCGACTTTAATTGACCTCCCCCCTCCCTCGTGTCAACAAATGTTAAAAAAGTTCAGACCCCTCTCCCCCTATTTTGTTGACGTAATTAATAAACAACCCTATAGTTATTACGTATATTTATGCATTATTTTTACATTTAGACCGTGTCTAAACTGACGAATCTTTATGGTGCTGTTTACTCAATTGATAACAACCGTGTTGGTCTTCATCCTATAGTTGCAGTGTGTTCAGACAAAAATGTTTATTTAGTTGAATCTACTTCATAATAATTTTATTACAACAATAAATGATGTAAACATTTAAATGTGATTTCATGATTTATGTGTTACGCTTATTGGTCAATTTATTCCAAATAATAGTTCATTAATCTAGTCTAATTGTGATAGAATTTAAAAATGGCGCATAAACAATTTATTTGTTTATGTAACGTATAACAAAAATGGTGTATAAACATATTATTAATTTATTAATTTGGGGTTTGAAATGTATTACGTCAGAGTTAGCTTAAAGCGAATAAAAAATGCTAGCACGCATGTTTTTTAAAAACTATTATCTCACATTTTAGTTAACTCTTAAGAGGTATTTAGGGTAATATAGACAGTGATAGTGCTAGTATATGCGCAATGCTGGTGTAACTAGAAATTCCTTGTAAAATTAAAGGATTATTAGAAGTCACTTATTTTGCTGGAGAGCTTTCAACATTATTTAAGCAATATAAATAAGTAATGTTGATATAAGTGTATGAAATGTGGTAAAAATTTTGAACAAAAATTGAAAAAACACCTAAAATAAACGTTTATCAGAAGCGCAACATTAAGCAACGGTATTGAAAAACCTTGCTAACTTAATACTTTATAAAGACTTTTGAAGAGTGTTGGAAAAGGTGAAAGTATGTTTAAGTTTTTGGTCTAAAGTATACACCATAGAAAAAAAATAAATTGCAACATTTGTTGTTTATGCACTGTTACACTGCGTAAATTAAATAAAAGGCAGTTTATCGATTTAGTAAAAACATGTTTAACATATATTAAGAAAACTACGGATCTGCTATTATAATTTTTGATGGCTAAGAACTAACAACCTAATTTTTTTTTTTTTTTGCCAAACAAACAAAGTAAAAAAGCACTGACAACATTTTTAGCTTATTCAAGAAGTGTATATTTGCCTATGCGATGCTGACGTCTAAAGTTGTAGTATTCTCATTAAAGCTAATCTTCAAAAATAGCACAGCTGCTGGTTACACAGATACTGCCATGTTGCTCGTTGATTTGAAAATAGTGGTATTTGATATAGCATTTTTATAAAAACACGGTCAAAAATATAAGAGTATTAAAGATTGTCAGTCTAATATTGGAAGCATGAAAAACTATTTCCCTATAATTCATGCTGGGTTTGGATGTGACACAACATCCACAATATTTGAAAATGAAATGTAAGCTTTTTTAAGTTGGTGAAAAAAAAAAAAAACACTTCAGGTTATTGCTAAGTCTAAAAAAGTAATTTTAGGGCAAATCAATCTACACACTAAAAAGAGTAGAATATGTAATATACTCTAAGTAAGGTATAACTTTCTATGTATTAAGGTAGACAATTATACCTTTAAAATAGAAAGTTGTATGAAAAATCATTATTTTTAATATAATTTTCTTAAAAGGTAGAAAATTATACCTTATTTAGAGTATATCACATATGTTACTCTGAGGTAGAAATTTATAGCTTTTTTATTAGTGCGTAAGGTTGGTGAAAACTCAATAAAAATTTTTAAAAAAGTTGTATGGCGGAAGCAGCAATCGAACCTTAACAAATCTTCCTCTCTAAAAACAAAAAGGTAAAAATTTCTACCTTAGGGTAGGATGTGTAACGTACCATTAGTAAGGTATAACTTTATACTTTTTGAGGTAGAAAATCATATTAAAAACAACAATACGTTATACAATTTTCAACATTGAAGGAACAATTTTCTACCTTAAAACGTAGAAAATTATACTTTACAAAGAGTATAAAACATATCCTAGAAACTTTTCTCTTATTTTTTAGTGTGTAGATTAGTTTATCATTTATTCACCTTAAGACAGGGAGTCAAATAGAGTTTTTAAATCTGTGTCACTTTTATGAAATTGAGTCAACATTTATTAAACTTTTTTTATAGAAATTATTAAACATAATTTTTGAATACACTACCAAATACACAAAATACCTCGATACGGTACGTAATGAAATTTTAGATCCTAAAAATAAGTCATCACAAAAAAAAAAGCAGCGTTACTCCATGGATTTTGTGTGCATTTGCAAATAATTATGCAACCGTGGCGTTATGATTGGAGTTCTGGATAAAATACTAGTCTTACGTAACTCGACACCGGCTCTAGCACAATAGCTCCAATGCTAAGAAAGAAGGCGTAATTTCCTAGTTAAATGCGCGGTACTCTGTGGTATGGATTTCTGGGAGTGCCTTAATACAACTACCTAAAAGCTACTCGACAATAACACAAATTTTAAAATCTTTTTTTTTCTTAGTAACAAAATTTTGTCCTCAAGTAAAAGTACTATTACTTGAGTAAAATTTTACTCAAGTACGAGTATAACTTACCGGTCGAAAAGTTTACTCAAGTAAAAAGTAGTTTATGGTAAACGATAACACGATACTTTTTTCAGACCTGTCGAATAATAAAACATTAACAACGCAGTCTATTCTTTTCTGTATATCTTTACAATTATTATACTTAAATAATAACATTAAGTGTGGGTTTATTAATACAAACAATACGATTTTTCATTATGCCATTATTTAATACTCATTTCATCAGTTTAAGCTTTTTTTTTTTTTTTTTAATTTTGTTCTCGCATAATTTGCAGAAACACAGAATTTGCAAATTTATTATTATATTTTGAAAAGATATTCGCGCTATGCATTTATTTTATAAATATTTTGAATGGATAATTTTTTTCTTAAATGCAAAATTAATATTTATCATCTTTAAAATAAAATCAATAGTTGTGTAAGATATAATTTTTTTTTTTAATTAATTTTATTTTAGGTACCCGAAAAAATTCTAAGGGATCGTCCATAAATACAGATCATCCATAAATTACGCAAAACTAAAATTCAGTATTACTGAAATTTAGCGTTGCGTAATTTATTAAGGTAGCAGATCCCCTAAAAATCAAAAAAAATTCAATTTTTTTTTTTACTTGATTTTTATTCAAAATTTAACGGAGATTATTAATATGAAAACAGCTTCTTATAATTCAATTTAGTTTTTTAAATATTTTTGTTTTAGTGGACCATAGTTTTTTAGGCTTCCCTAGTTACCACCATAGCAACGGGTTTGATTGTTGGTTTTTTAACTTTCTAATCAGCTTTTTGGAGGAAACTTCAGTCTTAAAAGAATCTTGTTTGCCGAATTTTTTGATAAAACTGAACGACATAAATTTTGTCCTCGAAACGTAAATAGTTGGTGCATGTGGCAGTCAAATAAACTAAAAGGTAAATCAACTTACAAAGCTAAATTAAATCTTCCATTAGCAATAAATGAAATTTTAAAACCCATCTTTCAAGACTTGAGCAGAGATGAATTATTATCTAAATGTTTGCATGGACAGACACAAAATAATAATGAAGCAATTAACAATTTCATTTGGAAAAAATGTCCTAAAGATGTTTATGTAAGTCGAAATATTCTTGAAATAGCTGTAGCATCTGCTGTTTTAGAGTTTAATGATGGAGCTAATGGGATATATGAAGTTTTTCAAAAACTAAAGATAAAGACCGGTCGATTTATGGACATAGGGACCATTAAAAAAAATAAGACTCAAATAGGTTATATGACAAAAAAGACTTCAACAGCAGGTATTAGCAGAAGAAAGTTACTAAGAGCTATGAAAAAAGGATTCATAGATAAAGAAAATGAAGAAAGAGCATCATATTCTGCTGGTGCTTTTTAGAATGATAAAAAATTTATTATTTTTTAATTACAAAATCTTTAGGAGCATTTTTCTTGTGTTTAATTTTTTTAATACTTTTCGACACATAAAACGCGTTTTCTCAACTTCTATTATAGATTTTGATTTGAAATTTTCAGCAAATGTTCCTTGTTATGTTATCTAGGGTTTGTACCTCAATGAAAGTTCAATTTTCATTTTAAGTATAATTTTTTTTTTTTTTGTGTACTTCATTTTAATAATTTTTGAAAAAATTGATTATCTTTTAAAGAATTTATAATTTTTACACAAAAGTGGTAGAAACCCTAGTAAATAGTACTACTAACATATCCTGAAAATTTGAAGTCCACAGCATTTGTAAAACTTGCGTAATCACGTTTGAAAATTTTTTAAAATGGCTGCTTAATTGTCTAATTAGTCCTTAATTACTTTTTTTTCTCACAATTTTCAATTAAAAAAAAAAGTTTAATTGATATCAAATAAAATCTAATTGCAATTTTATAAATAAACATATACATTTATCGACATGTATATGTTTATTTATGCCCTGGTATGTATGTTTATTTATAAGGTAAAGTTTTTAAATTTATCAAAATATTTTTTTTAAACCAAATTTATTAAAGTCATTCTCGAAGGCCAACACTTCATTTCCAGTAACTTCTGGGGTACCTAAAAGTTCTATTCTTGGTCCTTTACTTTTTTTATTATATTAATGATCTTCCTAAATATCAGAAATATAAAGCGGCTCTATTTGCTGATTAAACAAGTTTGTATTCCTGTCTTGAATAAAAGTCTTCTCTTTTCAATCGCTTAGAACATGCAGCCAATTTTAAATCTGATCTCACTTCTGTGACAGCTTGGGGCTTGCAGCGGCTTAAGATGTTTAACTCCACCAAAATTAAAATATTTTATAACTAATGCAATGCTGTTGATATTCTTATGTTAATGAAAGTTCCTCTCACTGATTCCTCTTCTTTACCTCTTATTGGATTATCATTCACTATTGACTAGTTATGGAAACCATGTATACAATCCATAGCAAAGTTAGAATCTGCAAAGGTTGCTTATGTTAATTGTGCAGGCAATCATCAAACTCTTGATTCCACTATCTACTACTATAATCTCTCAATTATTCTTGTATGAATTATTGTTGTCATATTTGGGCTGGTTCTTCCTGATGTTTTTCTCTTTTAGACAAGCCCAAAAACGCATTATAAAACTTTTATTAACTTAGTTTTTTTCCCCGCACTTAAATCCTATTTAAGTGCGGGGAAAAAAGGTGGTCTCTCTTCCAATCATCTTTTTCTGAATCATACAAACTACAACTTCTCCAGTCTTCTGAAAACCGTATACTTACTCTTAAGTTCTATTATTCTTTCTAGTAAC